ATAAAATGTGACTTGTGGTTCTTAGGGCTAGTTCTCACCTGCTGTCCCACCCCTCTCGCCCTGCCAGCTCCTTTTCCAGGGCTCACCGGGGGACACAGCCATCTGGAGGGGTGGCCGCTGAGCGCAGTCTGGTCTCACAGTGCTGCCCCAGCTCTAGAATTCCCACTGCCCTTCTCATTCTCCCCTCCGTGCTCTCATTAACCTTCGTGTTTAACAGATAAATACCCTGGGTTCATCCAGACACGACTGCCCTCTATGCTATTTTCTTTTAGGTAATCAGTGATTCACCAGGCCTGTCGGGTAGTGCATAGTCAAGACTACTCTTACATAGTGGCAAGAATAACGGTATAAGCATCTTCAACGGGTTTTCTTCATTCAAGGAAGTAAAAAGGGGTGGTTAAATTTCAAAAGTTGAATCAGGTCAGTTAAAAAAAAAAAGAAGAAGAAAAATTCTAGGCAAGAGAGCTTTTTATTTCCATCCGATAAACACTACGGATGCTGGTTCTGACCATAGGCAACGTGGTCTTCTCCTCCTCTCCTTTTACCTTTTCTTTTGCTTCCTAACTTTTCTGTTAAAAAGTCCCCTTATGTTTACCATCCCACTGCTTTGTATTATTTCATTTTATCTACTTTTGACTTATTCTTAGGGTATTTAAGAGCATTGTCTAACCCATAGGTCCTAGTCACAATGAAAGAAAACAGAAAATAAAAACCTCACTGTAGTGTTAGATAACAAGATCTGAGTCCATTTGCTTATTTCAGCACCCTTCTGGACAAAGACAATGCTGTGAACTAAGACCCTCAACTCTATAGTAAATAAGGTAGCATAAAACCTTACAAATCTGCCAAAAGGTTCCTATGACTGCCACTTTCCTGAGCTATAAAACAGGTGTGACAGGTTTGTTAATTTAACCCTCACAGGAGGATTCAATAAAAACACATTGGATAAAAGGAATTTGAGAAATATACCCATTAGCTTTCTAAAAGAACTCTGAACACTGCAATAGGCACTTGGGTCCATATTTTCCAACATCACGAAAGCCATTAACCCACTAAAACCATTTGTCATCTCATTTCACCAATGGCTAAAGAAAATTGTGAGAGGCAGAGACACAAAGACATCTGGAATAAGTAGAAATAAGCAGTACCTATCCATTAGGCTCTTAATGAAATACACAGTCTTTGAAACAGGTCCCCAGAACTCTTGAACATTCTTTGGCTCCACAATTGTTCCAGCGACCTCAAAAGCTATCAGTCCTGCCACCACATCTTCTTACAGGAAAAAACCTTTCTTCCTGCCTATTCAAGTGGGTCACCACTGCTATTCTCTTTGCTCAGCCTTTCCTGCAGAGCTCGGCCAAGTTCTGATGTGGTTCACTGCATATTTTAAATGCTGGAAGTGGTTATGGCCAAAGAAGGTCAGAAAACCCGACTGCTGAGCAGGACAGGGATGTGCTTCAAAAAGGCAGAGGCTGAGATTTAGGTCACCTCTGGGGAGACAGTGTGTGTTTACTGGATACTTACTGTTTACTGCTATTCATGTTTTTCTACGGTCTTTTACAATGTTCTAAATTAAGAGCCATATTTTAAGCTCCTTAAAGGTGATTTGCAATTATTTTAAATAAAAATGATCCAATCATCCTATAAACAGCAGAACTGCCATATTCTGTAAATAGAAATGGCAAACATTTCATCAGTCTTAAAAATACCATCTCCCCTGATTTCCCACCATCCTCCTCCCATCGATGCTCCCTTTCCTTCTCAGAGTTCCTTAAAGCGGCAGCCCGGAGTGCTCCAGGAGGACCTGAGAAATCCATGTGCACGCTAAAGACGCCACAGAGAAGGCCGCCCGGTGGAGGGCGTGAGGCTTGCTGTTTCTCATGTCCTGCTACAAAAGCGGCAGGATTTCTTAGTTTTCTTTCATTCTGAATAACTTATCACACAAGAGTACTAGAACTTTAAATCAAGAAAAAAATAGCAAAATTTGAGTAATAGACAGAAGTTTAAGTTTCAGGACTTAGTTTTTCTATTTTCCTGGGTACACAACAGTCAAAAATTGTCTTATTGAGCTGCAGACAGACATTATCGGGGCTCTACAACAAGCTTCAAACGTGGGGAGGCGGTGAATAAAGTAATGGAATGTTCTAATGCTTGAATAAAAGTCTGCTTTTCTGATTTTACTTTACCATCCATGGCATTAGGTCCTCTTTATAGAAGCTCTCAACTTCAACTCTGAGTAATTCCCACAAAAGCCATTTCCACCCTCTCCTATTTGCTTGGGTAGTCCGCGGAACTTTAAAATGCAAAAATGACTACGGGTGTGTTACGATACTGTTGAAGTGCTTGGACAATAATAAAATATGAAGAATCCCCAGTGCTCTGTGTGCTACAGTCATCTTTATTGTAAATCCAGCCAGACTCCAACATGTATTTACCTGGAAGGCAGTGGTTGTGCGCTGCCTGCAATTACCCATCCCTCCCCTCTTTCACAGTAAGAAAAGCTCAGTTCCTGTTCAGGCACAATCCTACCTGAAATAGAGATGATCTCTCCCAGCCTCCCTTGCAGGTGTAGCCACGTGACTAATTTCTGATCCGTATTCTGTGAAAGAACTGTGTGGTGTTTCTGCAGAATGTCCTTAAAGGTAAGGGATTACCTTCTGCTGCCTTATATATAGACTTTTTTTAAAGTTTATTAATTTATTTATTTCATAAAAGAAAGAGAGAAAGACAAGCACTCCTGACAGGGCCTCATGCTGCAATTGTTTCCAGAGCCTTCCCAGATGGCAAAGACCACCAGCATGCGTGCATGTCCTGAGTGTACAGGTCAACACAGGAACGAACCCTGATCTTCCATGTACTTCCAACACTGCCACGCTGCACTGCTGCAGCTGGGTGTAGAATGCAGATTTTACAGCTGGAGCTCCAATAGATACCTCGGAACACCAGATGACCAACCTTGAGGGTACAGGCCAAACACTGACAATGGCAGAAGATAGGCGTCTGAGTTGCTCACAATACCCGAGAGCCATCATGCCACCCTCACCTCCTATCCCAGATTCCTTTACATAAAAGGGAGAGCAGTATTCTTCTTGTCTAGTCTCTTGTGTCCAGGGATTCACAGTCTGATTTATGGCGACTAAAAAGTATAATAACTGATATGTCTATCATATGGTCCAAGGAGCCTGACAGCTCTGGAAGAAGAAATGTAACTTTTCTTCCGCTGTAAAAATTTCTTCACTCATTTAAAGATGATAGAGCTTTAAAGAGAACAAAACCCTTCAGAAAATACTAGGCTAGCATCCTTCCCACAAGAGCAAAGGCTTGCTATGCAAAACCACTAACCCCGACATCCCATCACTCTAATTCTAACTGTTCAAGTCAAAGTGTCTCACTAAAAAAAAGCATACCAGGTTTATGATGTAGCAGAGAATTTATTTTGCTCTTATGAAATAAACTTCTCTGTTTGTGATGAGCAGAGACCAGGTGGAGGTCACCAACCTCTTCTCGTGTGCCAAAAACCAAATGAGCCCATGTGAAACAGCCACTGTGTTGGTTTGCTACACTCGTGACCACTTGTTTAATTTTGCAATCATTAAGCAAAACTTATAAGAACTCTAATAGAATATCGGAACACACTCTCTAGTTTTACAAGTATTCAGAAATACATTAGGATTCTAAATACAAAACAATATTAATGGTAGCAACGACAACAGATATCACCTATTGTTCAATGCCACATGACTGCTACGATACTTCTGGGCTAGGACTCTGCTGACACACGCTGTCTGGAATTCTAAATACATATTAGGAAACTGAGGTCCTAAGGGGCTAAATAACACGGCTAAGACTACGCAGACAGTTACTTACAGCAGTGATTATAGATGAACTCCGAATCATCTATAAGCTTAAAAATATTTTAGCTATACAATCCTCTCTCTCAAGATATTGAAATAATAATCTTAAAAAAAATCTTTATTTTCCTCTTTACAGATCTATAATAAAACATTCTAATTCTATATCTATCTTATATTAATATGAGCATTTCTTAAAGAAAAACATCTAGTTTGTCAATAAATGCGAAATAATGCTAAAACACAAGTGAAACAAATCACAAAAATATGTTCTATTCATTTAACCTTTTCTAACAGTTTCACTTCCAGGTAACCTGTATGTTTCTACAACAAGGGTCATTATCTTCCTTTTAATCCATAAACATCAGAACTAGAAAGAAACACCTATAATAACATGTTCTTCAGTGATTACATCTCTGTATGCCAATTCTTTTGAAATGGGTCCGATTTATTTCCACCTCTTTGCCGAGCTTCCTCTTCAATTAAAGGAAAAGAAAAATCACTGAACAAAATGAAGCCCTTAACACATTTATTAACTACATCAAACAATTTAGCCAGAATTCAAACAATAAATGAGCTAAAAAACAGAGGGAAGAAATTGATCTATTAAAAAGATATATGTATATATATGCATATATTTGTATGTGTACATATAGGAAGGTATGTCATTTCATTTAAATATATATATGAAAAACAGTAATTATATTAAAAGTTTATCATTATAATATTTTCTTGGGCTGCGAAAGCTAAACAGTTGAAACATTCCTATGAGAAGACAGTCAAACGGAAGGCTAGAGCTCCCTCTTTCTTCTTTTTTGTAGAAATTCACCAAGACTCCTTCCAGGAGAACAAACTCACAAGCAGGCTAGAGCACTCACACTCAGCGAAGTGGTTCCCATCCCCTCCACACACACCACAAGCATTCCATTCCATTTTCTGCTTATTCATTATTCCTAAGTGATTTACGTACTAGACAAGTAGAACTACTCACCCCTCTAACTCACAACTGAATGTTATTCATTCTAACTCCAAACTTGTCTTATTTAAGTTCTCCATTACATTCCTGCCATTCCTTTAGTAATCCTGACCTTACCAACATTATTAAACAGACTTTAAAAAAATAATAAAACTAAATGTAGCAATACTCACAGAGCCATTTCAAACTGTTCCAGCCATTTTTTCTTTAAATCTTTTGTTTTGCAATAAAATTCTAACCCATTTTGTCCTTGGGTATGGATGAGGTAGAAGCCATATGACCACTGTTAAAATGAATATTCTCTGGGTTAACATGTATTATTCATTAATAGCATCAGGATTCCAGATTTACTAAAACACCACCTTAACCATCCAAAAACTCCTTATAACATTACCACTGTACAACTCTCAGGAAGCAAGCACACTACTGTGGTCGACTTCCTATGTCAAATGCATTGCACTGTTTGGATCATGAGGGCATTAGAGAAGATCAGACCAGCTCGCAAAGCATCCCTTTCTCTCTCACTGAGGCATGTACCTAATCATTCTCTAGAACCAAAAACCCCAGACCAGTAAGCCATAGCTCACATTAATGAACAAGCATGCTTTCTTTAAATATCCTGTTATGAATAAATTCCAGTTATTAACTCCCCAAAAGTCACCTTTTTATTCTCTTTATCTGTTGTGGGATTGTTGGCTATTTTGTACTGCTGAAGATCTATTATCTCCTTCATTTCATAATTATCACCTTTCCTTTTACAAACGATCACCGCCAAATCAAACAAGAAGATGTGCCTGTGAGAGAGAGAGAAATTGATGGATAGATGGATTAATTTTAAATGGCTCAGGAGTTTGTGCATTCACTTTTTCCCCTGGTAATAATTAAAGCGACCATTTTTTCTTTGTGTTAAAGACAACAGGCAGTGATGCACAGTAAAAAGAACGCGAAGTTGGACACTGTAAGAACTCGGTGTGCCCTGGCACTACCCTCTACCCAGTGAATGGCCTCATTTTTCCTCAGATCCCTCATTTTAAAAAATAGGCAAAATAATAAGAGTGATAGGCACCCTCAAAAGCTGTGAAAAGGACCAACTTAGATAAGCCACAGAGCATACTCAGGAGCCATTACTTTTTTTTTTACGTAAAAGCTAAAAATGTACAGAACAATATTAACGATGAGGATGGCCAGTGTTCTCTACCAAGTTACTGGGAATCAGCCAGAATGCCCTGAGAAGCATCCAGCCCTTTCACACACACGACTCACTAGTTTTAAATCCCCAGGGCTACCTGATGGGTAGGGATGATCATCATCCTCATTTTACTGGGAAGAAAACTGAGGCTCAGCCAAGTTAGATCATTTGCTCAAAGCCTCACTACTAGTGAGGTACAGAGCAGGATTCACACTCGGGTCTAATTTTGGAACCTGTGCTTTTACCCTCTCTGTTGTTCCTCATGATTTAATGGGCCACCTGCAACACAAATTGAATGGTACATGAGCAAAACGTAAATCAAAAAAGTTAGTTAAATTTCCATGTTAGTCCTTCTCCTTTTTCTTATTAAAAACATAATTCAGGAAAAACAAACCTTATAACCTTATCATTCAATACGATGCTTATGTATTTTCATAAACTCTCAGTGTTAGCCACACATCCTTTTTATTTTTTTAATACAATGTTAATGATAAAAACGCATTCACGAAACTCGGTACTTGTATCTCTCTTAAGGTCTATTTCTCCCTGAGAGGTTTAAAGGACACTGACTCCTAGGAGAGACCTGTAGCGACAAGATATCAGGCTGAACGCACGGGCTGCTGCTGCCCCCTGCTGGCTGATTTTCTCATCTCCAGAGATCCCAGAAAACGGCCCTACTAGCCAGGAAAGCATCAGTTTGAGTCACATACACTATGAAGGACTCTGGGTCAGCTTGCTAATCCTTCAAGGACTCCACCTAAAAATTTCCCTCAAAAAAATAACAATGCATGGTCCTCATTAAGTCTTCTTTCTCAGGACAGTTTCTATTACTTTTAGCTATCTTTAAATGTATAACCCCCCAAAAAATATATAGCTCAAAAATCAATTATGTTTTTGTGGTACTTTATCTGTTGTTCCTTAATGTATACTTTTTTCTACCCTAGGTGATGGCTTATACTTTTCATTTCCTTCTTGAGGACTTAGATAAACTAAGACATATCGGAACAGAGAGGAAAACTTACATATTAGAAAATTTTGGAAACCATGAATCTTGCTTTTCTTCTGTTTCCCCCCCCTCCTTTGTCCTAGAGGAATTGTTTGCAAGGTTTTCTCAATCTCCTGATACTAATTACTTATTTCAAAAATGAGTATCTTTTTTCTTTTCTCACCTTTCTTGTTTTGTGTGCTTGTCTAGAGTGGTTATTCGAATTTCACCATCTCCCTGAGGTCGTCCAAAAAGCAAAACTGGTTGATTCTAAAATATAAAATGTACATGTCTGAGTTTTTATAATCACATAAAAACAGAAATAAATATTATTAGAGCTATTGGTTGAGGACAACTATCTCAAAATACTATAAACATTAGCATGTTTACATTTTTTAAGCACATATACTCCAAAAACAAAGCTCAGGCTTGATATGTTTTCAAAAAATAGTTTGTAATCTCAGGGGGTATATTGTGGCTATTCATTAATTCTATTTGTAATCTTAAAAGGGAAGTTGGGTGGGGACCAGCAGTTAGCGTAATGGCTATGTCGCTGGACTCCCACGTAGTCAACCGCGGTTCGCGTCCCGGACCCAGTGGCTTAAACTCACGGTGGACACGTGTGCGTGCGTGCCCAAGATCCCAAGAGGAGAATGGAGGAGAAGGGATTGCAGCGTGGCCATCCCCCCTGGGGGGTGATTTCTCGCTTTCTGTCTCTCTGTCTCTCTCTGGCGAGCGCACACGCCCTATAGCAAAAAACCTCTCCAAAAAAAAAAGGAAAGTTGGGTTACCAAAGAGAAAATTACCTGGAAGAATTCAAATCAAAAGAAGATTTCAGCAACTAATATTTGTTGAGCATCTACTGAGACCCCGCCCACATAGGACACACTGGCCAGGGGGAGGACAACTAGCCACAGAAGCGTGTCATTACCAATGCACAAGTGCCATGAAGGAAGCGTACCAGAAGGGAGCCTAACCTGGTCCACAGAGTCAGGGATTACTTCTCTGAGCTAAAAATCAAGGAGAAAAGTTCTGACTAAATGATCAAAAGTAATGAGCTATATCCTAGAGTCAGAGATTCAAATTATTTTTTAAGTATTTAGGAGTCCTTACTAAACTTGTTAAATGAAAAAGGAGCTGACTGAAAATTATCACTCACTTTTAGAGATTCCATTCTAATAAAGAACACAGAAATGTAACTATATTACAAGGAAGTGTAAAAATGATTGTTCCCTATCAAAACCTCAATGTCTTTTTTTTTTTTGCAGAAATAGAAAACTTTATCCTAAAGTTGATGTGAAATCTAAAGTACTCTGAATAACCTAAATAACTTTTTTTTTGAGAGGTTTTTGCTATAAGGCACATGCGCTTGCCAGAAAGACAGAGAGAAAGAGAGAGACAGAAAGCGAGAAATTGCCTGCCATGAGGGATGGCCAAGCCGCAATCCCTTCTCCTCCATTCTCCTCTCAGGATCTTCGGCACACACGCACATGCGCCTAGCGTGAGTTTAAGCCACCAGGTCCGGGACTCAAACCGCAGTCGGCTATACAGGAGTTCAGCGACACAGCCATTATACTAACTGCTGGTCCCTAACCTAAACAATCTTGAAAAACAAAAAATTGGAGGTTTCACCCTTGCTGACTTCAAAATTTATTACAAAGATACAATAATCAAAACAGTGTGACACTGGCATAAAGACAAGCATATAGACCAGAGAGCCTAAAAATAAGCCTCACAAATACTGCCAAATGATTTTTTTTTTTGGAGAGGTTTTTGCTATAGGGCGCGTACGCTCGCCAGACAGACAGAGAGAGACAGAGAGACAGAAAGCGAGAAATCACCCCTTCTCCATTCTCCTCTCAGGATCTTGGGCACGCACGCATATGCGCCCGGCATGAATTTAAGCCTCGGGGTCTGGAACTCAAACTGTGGTTGACTACGTGGGAGTCCAGCGACATAGCCATTATGCCAACTGCTGGTTCCCCAAATGATTTTCAACAAGGGTGACAAAAACCATTCAATGGGGAAAGGACAGCCTTTTCAACAAATGGTGCAGGGAAAACTAGATATTCACAAACAAAAGGATGAAACTGAACTCTAACCTTACACAATATACAAACATCAAATTAACGTGGATCAAAGGTTTAAAGGAAGGAGATCAAACTATAAAACTCTAAGAAAAAAAATTAGTAAAACTTAATGACATTGGATTTAGCATGCTCTTTTTCATGTGACACCAAAACCACAGGCAATAAAAGACAGATAAATTGTGCTTCATCAAAATTTTAAAATTTTGTGCATGAAGGGCACTATCAAAAGAGTGAATAGGCAACGTGCAGAGGAAAGTATTTGCAAGTTGTCTGATACGGGATTGCTATCCAAGACATGTAGTTAGTAACTCCTACAGTTCCATAGCAATAACAACAAAAGACCTGAATCAAAAGTGAGTAAAGCACTTAGATACACATTTCTCCAAAGAAGATACATGAATGGTCAAGAAACATTTGAAAAACTGATCAATATCACTCATCATTAGGGAAATGCAAATCAAACCACAATGAGATATCACCTCACACCCATTAGGATGGCTATTACCAAAAAAAAAAAAAAAAAAAAAAAAAAAAATTTAAGAAAAAAAAAAAAAAAGTGTTGGGG